CTGATATTACCACAAGTCCTGCACACTTCCTGTTTTCCCAGACTTTCCCTGTCTCAAATTGAAAACGCATAGGGTGGAGGAAAACTCACGGGGCATTTAACAGGTTTTCAGCAGAGCAAGTTGGGACACCTGCTCTGGAAGAAAGAAAACAAATTTGCCCCCACTTTACCTGTCAACGATTGTAATCTCATATCAGATAGGCTAATGTTACCCTGTATACAATTTGGTGGCAAGCATGCTTAAAAGTATTGTATCAAAAAAATTCACACAACATGCATCAAAAAGTACATGTTTTTGTATATTTCATCCCAAGTGTGGATAACTGGTTTGAAGGATTAGCTAATTGCTTGTGAATTAGGCGGGACATCCTTCATCTGACCCTGAGGAGTGATGTATGATGCGTTTATTGCATTCAAGTAATCACCTGCATTACATCTAATTGGGGTTCATGAGCAAAGAATTTGGATATAGCTATGGAAATAAAAAATATATTTGCCATATTTGCATGATAAATCCAGTCTGGTGACATTATAGGTTATCTGATGTAATCTGTCTGGAGAAACAAAAGCAATCTTTTCTAAGAGTGAAGATGCGCTTTGCAAAAATGAGTCAAAATGAATATGTTCAAATGTGCCGGATACTAATTTTAACGCTCATGCATCCCAATAATATGAATCTCAGGAAGCAGATGGCTTTTCGCCCTTTCCTGCAAAATGTTTCCAAAATGCACTGACGAAATGAGAGGAAGAGAAACAAAGTGCGAGTGTGTGTGCAGGTTATTTTGAAAGAGAAAACCAGAATTTCTCTTTCAGTCTCTTGTTACACCTGGTTGTTGCCGGCTTTCTTTCCAAAGAACCTGCATACTCAAGAGGTTATTTAGAGGGGGGAAACTGTCAATTCTTTGTTCTAATGTTACCATGCCTGGATCTTTTCAGATGCCTTTAAATGTAGATTATATTATTTTACTCTTATCCCAAACCCACACAACTAAAAATATGATTATCCATCATAAATACATGATTTATTACATTTAATAATATAATAGTGCTGATAGTATCAACAAATAATTAATTTAATACACAAATAATTAATCATTAAGGGAAAATAATAATTTCAATATGGGTTGTTAAATTATTTAAATAAATAAATAAATAAATAAACATAAATTATATGAATTATAATTTTTAAATATATAAATATACATTTAAATTATTAAGAGATTACAACTATTAAAAGTTTTATTTGTTGTGGTGGATTTTTTGTTATTTAATGCTTGATAAGAAAAAGACCACCTATAAACAAAGTACTTGTGTCATTTCCAGTCAAGATGTAATTTTGCCAAAATTCTGCAAAAAGAAAGAATGTATTTGTGTACATTCAGGATACACATAGCTGTGAAATTAGCCTCAGCAAGACAAAGGAGTCGCAATTTAAAAAAAAGTCAAAAAGTAATTTCCAAAATCATAATCACTGATAATTTGTAAAATTAAAATAAAAAATAAATTGTAAACTATAAGCATCATAAATACATGAATTACTACATGCAAAACATGTAAACGAGTGAAATATATAATTTCAATAAAATGTAAAAAATATATTTTTTATAATATTGTGAAAATAATTTATTATATTATTTATATAAATGTGTGTCATTTCCAATTAAAAAATATTTTTAAATTAAAAAAAAAAAATGAATTGTGTGTTTTCAGGATACATAAAACGCCAATTGTGAAATTAGCTTAGTAGTTGGCTATTTTGTTCCAAAAATGTTATAAAAGAAATTTCCAAAATCATCCTTTCCATCAGAGAATGCTATCAATCTTAAAATATAATTAAGCATCATAAATAGATGAATCATCATTTCCATCACAGAATGGTATTAAACCTGATCCACCATTAGAGATGTACTGGAAATGACACTATGGTGGAAACACTACTATCAAAGCCTTGGGCCCTTTTCTCCAGGGACGGAAGCTCATGAGCCTCAAGGAAGCCATCAATAATTAAACCCCATTTGCTTTTACACACAGTCTGGGCAGATGTTAACGTGTTTCTAACATATGCTGTCAAAGCCACTTCCGAGAACAGCAAGGAAACAAATTACATCCCGAATGAAGCCCCCAAACCAAGACATCCCTTTAGGGCAGACCACCTCTCATCTGTCCCGACCCAAACGGCTACATGAAAACTGACCTTCTTCCACCAAATAAAAGCCACAACAAACACAACATAGCATGTTGGCCTCAAAGTATCAGCTTTAAACAGGCTGATATATTCACTTCTGTACAGCCTTCAGGCAAAACATTGACAAAAAGCCAAACGATCTGGAAATCATATTGCAATCAGTCAGAGTTAAATTGTAAATGTTTGACTCTTTTCATGGCGGCTTTCATTTTCATTTAAACGAAACAAGGTGACAGCAATATGCAAGATGCGTCCTGGGATCAAAGCGGACTTTCGTCTTCCCACGCTTTGTCATCACAAACAATATCTTTAATGGGTTATTGGTGATGAAATATAAATGGTTCATCAGAATAACAAGCACATTAGAGAGAGGAGGAAGTTCAAACGGATGGGGATGTTTCTCAAATCCAAACAAAGCTGACCTCTGTGCGCATTCAGCTTTCAGAGCAGCAAAAACCTGCCGGCTTTGATCCTGAACTAGCGGCTTTCAGCCATTACAAGGTCATGAAGGTTCATTCAAAGCATTCCTCGACTTAATAGGTCACTACGCTAATAGATTATGTGGAGATGGGTGGGAGAGGGTTGACACAGGTATGCAGTGTTTCGCAGGGGTTTCGCAAGCAAAAGGCCCATGCAATGTACAAGAAGAACTTCTCACAATCTTAAAAGATGATTTTTTATACCGTGCAACTGAAAAGTGTAACTATTTCACTTATAGTATGGTGACCACACATCAAAACCTACTGACCCTAAACTTTTGAAAGGCGGTGCATGTTCACTGCATTTTATTCTATTTATGACCAATTTCAATATATCAGGTTTTATAGTACCATCTTTTTTTTTTTGTTGCTTCATGGAATTAGTTAATTCCCAAGTGAACTTTAAGATTTTTTGTTTGATTGTTTTAAATCAATGTTGTGACTCATCTCAGAGCTGGTTGAACAAGTTAAAAGCTTAAAGTCTTTACTGACAAATTTGCTGAAATCTGTTTGATGAAAATGAATGGAAACATATGAAACCATGTAGCAGCCACAAGAACCTAGCAATTGCTTAAAACACCCTAGCAACAACCTAGTAACCACCCAAAACACAGTAGCAAACACTTAAAACAACATAGAAACCACCCCAGTACACTACACAACACTCAAAACCCCCTGTCAACCACCCACAACACCCCAATTATGAGCTTTACATGAAAAGCAGCAAAAACATTCAAGTCTGCTCCTTTGTTTTTTAGTTTTACTTTGTGTATGTTGTAGTAAACGGCACCAAAAAACCTTTTCAATAGTGGTCAGTGACTAATCCTCAGTTTAAAGTTAATTTAGGCCATTAAAGATGCTTTGAATGGGTAAAGAACTGAAATACTGGCTGTTCTCCAAGCTTCATTTGAGGGGAAGTCAGCCGGTGAAAGTGCGACAAAATCTAACAAGACTAATGATAAGACTATCTCAGGATAATCAATCAGCTTTTCAGTGTGTGAATAAAGCCCTTCCCACGTTACTCTTTATGTTGACTTAACAAGCACACAACTACAAATTTACCTTTTACGTGTGTGAATGTGGAGCGTTTCAGGACTGAATCTATATGCTCACTTGCAAACAGAAAAAGGCCTTCGAGGGGTATGAAGCGGGACAAACAGAGGAGGAGATAAAACAACATTTCAGAGAAAAACAGAAACCGGCTCCTCCACTGTTTCATGACATCAGTGCATGTCTCGCTCGCGTGTGGCGGTGTTAATTTGAAACCTACACCTCAGATAATTACAGGGCCGTGACGCTCAGACACTATGACACATAAACGCAAAAGCGCACATGCTCTCACACTCTTTAAAAAGTTGTCTGTTTTTGTATCTTGTCACTGTACTCCAACTAGCAAGTACCAGCCTCTTACCAGAGAAGGCTGTGAACCTACAGTAGAGAGGCCTGTAGAGAGGCCATTTAGGGCCAGATTAAGGCTCAGCGCAAACCCTCATTTGATGTTAATAAACTACTGTCAGGATTCACTAAAAACATGCAGTGAAAAATTAGCGTGCTTTTTGCGGCTGAAGTGCATGTGCATTTGTTGGAGTTTCTCTTTCAAATGGAAAGTTTATGGGAGGAGAGAATTTAAAAGAATCACTCAAGGTGATTTACTAAGGTTTGCGCAAGTCAATTTACTAGTATTTGGACCATTATTTACAATAAAGGATGAACCAGAAACAGACGTATTAAACCAGACGCTAATTTGCGCTGCTCTTAGTAGATTGTGTTGGTCATTATGGAACTGACTGGGTTGTGTCTGGCTGGGTTGTGGCTGTGTTTTTTTGGAATAGCATTCTCGTGCTAATTTGCCCTGTTTTGTAAATCTGGCCCTTAGTCTCCAACAAGCACGGTTTTTAATTTAATTGACATACACAATATTAAATTCACAATGTTAAAACCACTACCTTGATTTGACTGGAATATTAACTCGCATACTTGGAAAACAAATAAAGTTAAATAAAGTAAATTAAATCTTGTAATAAAGATAATTCTTCTGTGATAATTTGAAGAAAATCTGACACTCAGATTTTGGTGAAGCTCAGACACAACTTAAACTGATTTAAACAATGGGAAGAAAATTAAAACGATTCCTAGCAGGATGGAAATAAAGTGCTGGCAAGTTTTCCATTGCTCACTTCTTAAAATTAGGGTGTCAACTTGAAATCGATCTTCCTTTTGAAATGATGATATGCAATTTCAGCAATTTTATATAACAGGATACGATTGAATATATCCATGTATTTGTCCAGTTAGGACAGGAACTCTGAGTCAAGAAGACTAGCCAAAAAGTTTTTTATGAATTAATCTTTTATTAAACTGCTATAAAAGCTTTAAAACATTTATTGATGGAATAGAGAATGCTAAATTCATACATAAACATTCACTAATTTAAAGTTCGTAGTGCACATTAGCAGCATCTCCAGAGACGTTACAGGAGGAGTCTGACAAGGCCTGATTTAATTGTCAAATGGCAGTGTTTCATTGTGCAGTTATGAAGTGAGCACACCTCGTTCCATAGCGAGTCCCACGTGGTCTCAAATTAGCGGCGATTCTCGCACTTGACTTGCTGTCATTGGGCACGTGATGAAGTTTCTCTCGTTCAGCGATGGACGTCGTGTAGATGCATTCCTTTGTTTACAAACACAAAGTATAGTAGTTAGTCAAGGTGTGGGTCAAAATGACTTTCAGAACAATAATAGCATGATCACAGTTTCTGTCCTTGCCCAGCTCATGGTTCACTTACGAATTTGAATCTGCAACCTGTTAGACTATAAAAATAAGATTTAAAAAAATTGCATGCCTTAATAAATTGCATAACTAAAATTAGACCCAGTATAGATTTAAACTACAGTACAAGGGAAATGAAGCACATTTCATGTGAATGTAGCAACAGAAACAGCCCGTTGTAACAACTGTTCTTATAGGCCCTGCAGCTTGTGCTCTACAAAACTGAGTGGTTCTCAGCTAAAGCCACCTCAGGCAACAAGAGCACTCTCGTCCTTTATTGTCTCGCTCTAGTCTCTCAGGAGTGCTTAAAATATCACATTGACACAAGTATTAGAATAGTAATAAACAGCACACTGGCAAACATTAATGCTTGCGTTTTTCAGAAAATCTGGTAACGAACAAAAAAATATTTTTAGTTTTTACAAATTTAAGCCGATTGCACAAAATTAACTTAAAGCAACAAGTAGTAACTTTTCCTCTGTGGTCGCCCTACAGGTTGGAAGCGGAATTGTCCATTACCGCTGACGTAAATAATTTATCCTACGGTCGCACACACGCTCGCTCGCTGTATATCTAGCACCAGTTTTGGAATGAACAATGTCCACAGACAAGGTAAAGTATGTGGCATGATTTCATGAAAATATGATGTATCAGAAACGGAGAAAAACTAAATAATGACTATTGTAACGCTTGATGTAAACCGTCAAATTTGTAGTTTTCTTATGTCTCATTAGAACTACAGATCTGGTAATCTTACCTAGCGTGGTTGGTTATAGCATATATAGGACCACAAAGCAGAGGCAGAAGTGCCTTTCACCCTGTTACGACTTGACGAACCACTAAAACGATTTTTGGAAACATTATTTTAAGGTAAAAAAAAATCTTACATAGTGCTGCTTTAAGTTTTGATGTTCAAGAATTGTTGCATTAGCTTATTTGAATCAACTAACCGGAAAATCCACTAAAAATCTAATTTTGTGATAAGATTGTTATCAAAGATAACAAGCTCCTCTTTTTCATATGAACTCTTGCTTTAAAAGCATTTTCCATCTGAGGAGAATCACACATTCCCCAGCTGGAGCTATGAATAGGGCCGATCTGTTTCCACATCACTATGTCCACAAAACACAAGCCCAGTGGTGGTTAAACGGTGTGCTAAGCATGCTTTCAGATTAAAAATGCGTTATCCCAGTATGACTCTTTCAAGCTCCCCAGAGAGCTCTGCAGTCTATCATATGCACTAGTATGCAGTGTGTCCGTATTGACCAGCTGCTTTCCACTGCACACTCACTGGAGTCCGCCACAATTGTGTTTAAGAAGATTATTCTTTAGAGTTTAGCCATGCTGGATTTAGCGTTTGTCGGTTCTGTGAGGTGCAGAAGGCCCAGAGAGAGCCACTGAGACAGAGCCGCCTGGAGGACAATGGAGGTGTAGAATGGCCAGAAATACTGATCTCACAGAGTCTTGATGGATTTAAATGCGGTCCGACGGACATTAATACACATATTCAAACACGACTCAACAGATGTTCTTAAAGAACATCAATGACACCAAACAGTATTGGTTCTTGTGTGTAAGATTGAATATATGAAATAATATTTCTCTATTCTACAACTTAAAAAGAATTAAAATTAACAACTTGCATGGTGCTTTTTTGTCCGTTATGATCACTGCACAGAAAACCTGCAGTGAAAAATTTCTCCTTTTGTGTTACATGGAAAAAAAGACAGTCACCTGGGTTTGGGATGACATATTTGGGAACAAACTCTCTAAAATGTTTAAAAAAAAAAGCTGCTGTTGCTTAAAAGGATGTGGGAAAAACAAATATTTGGGTTTACCAAATATCTATAATTCCTTGGTTCATTAAAGAACCTTGCAGGCCTCTTGACCCTGGACAGCATAACACTGCCTAAGAGTGATTTGGACATGAACATATGTGAACAGGTTGGAAGGAAGTGGCAAAGCCCTGAAGGTGTAAATGTTATCGGTGTCATTTAAATATGGGGGGGGGGGGAAACACCATTTTAGTGTTCAAAATATTTTAAAGCCGGAAAATATGACTTCATAATTATGATTTTATATGATTTTGTATGCTGTCATCAAAGCAAATACTAAGAAATTTTAGTAAACTTCAAGTCAAATATTTCTCCGTTATTATAACTAAAGTTTTTTATATATATACTAAAGTTTCAGACTTATGGACCCTATAGATTTAATTTTGACGGTACCATTTATCAATATTCATGCTTGAATTACACTTAGGCAACTAAACCTCATTTAGTATTTCTGTGGATACAACAGAAGTGAGCTTGAACAGTGGATTTGGTGGAGCTTGTACTGTAGCAACATCATCTGGAGTCAGTTAAAGATATGCAAACATATTCAAACAATTTCAATTACACCAAGTATACATGAACTAAACTGGAATGAATGAAAACATATAGATACAAACATATATATGAATATGCAGAAAGAGAAGTATCCTTGAAAGAAATTTGAAGTGGCATCTTCACACCTCTTCAAAAGTAATAAAGGTCAGCACATTGATTGTGTGCAGGACAAAAGGCAGGTGTGTGTGTGTGTGACGAAGAAAGGTCCAGATCATTCCTCTCGTTTGGGAAATATTTGCATAGTTAAAGAAAGCAAAAGTCCAAAGACCCGCACTCCTCATTTAGTACCAAAGATCCAACCTATACATTTCCATCAATACAGCTATTAAATTTGCATGGCCAACATTTTATATTTCTATGAATGTTTGAATAAATGGCAAAATCTTGTAAGCCTAATCTCCCTTTAAATATAAAATAATTTGGCTAAAATCGAAGGAAGAATGGCACGCACAGTGAATTAGGAGAAACTTCAGGTATAAATATATTGGATTTCATTCAAATCATAAAAGTAAAATATTTAGATCCATATAAAAACTTTAATTCAATATACTGCACTTGTTTGAGAAAACATAAAACATATAATATAGCATAACAGCTATTAACTGTGCACTAATTATATTTACTACTGAGTTTTTATCTTAGCAACATGCTAATGTCAACCTCTATTGGAATAAAATAGTCAAGTCGCCTGTGCATTTCTAATCAGCCATGAAGTTAATTGCTACTAGGCTTTGGAAGAGAGCTAAACTATTGCTCACCTGTCTAAATCATATTTAAAACAACCGAGTAACCATGCACTTTAGAAACTTCGCACGGACTCGGGTTTCAAAACAAGATGGAAAGAAATTCCCTAATGACTCTTTCTTCTGGGGAGGACACGGACTTCTAAACAGCAGGGTGATGCTGGGAAATCAGGAGCTAACCTATGAATAAGTAAACGCCACTCCGGCTCTGTGTCGTTAATCATGGGAGTTTGTCCGACACGCACTTCCCTTGGGATTTGATCCTACCACATCGTTCCTCAGTGTTGTTTACGCAACACCTATAGCAGAGCCAACAATACGGTCACTGGAATCTCTATGTGATCAGATAATATCAGCAGTTCCCTGATCACCTTTCCTACTTACGCTCACCGTTGTTACGCAACTATCGCACCTGAGCGAACGACAAAGGATATCGCACCCATATCCAACAGCCCGGCATGAACCTAACCACATAGACAAATGTGTGCTGTATTTCAACCCATGTATTCCATCACTACATTGTCAGAGTTGCCAGATATGCTGTAATCTTTCCCCCTGGGAGCCCGTGGAAACAAGATACAGAAGAGGAAGATCAAACACTGGGCATGGGATCACATGTCTCCGCTGTTCGTTCGGAGCGTGACGCACACATGGCATACAGGGACAGGATTTTCCCATACCCTCCCTCACTCTGGCTCTTTTCAGAGGTGGAACGTCTGGTAATCACAAGATTAAGAAAAGAAGCACACTACAGACTCAGTCAGGTTTGAGTGGTGGGGAAAAAGCGCACACACACACACAAACAAACAAACAATCGTTCCACTAGAAGCACTGCTAACTTCAAAGAAGGAAAAAAGTAGTAGTTATCCTCTGATACACTAGTAGAATCAAATTCAAAGTATATATATATATATATATATATATTTAAAACTCACTGAGCAACAAAAATAATGCCCATTGCAAACATCTAATAAAAGTATATACCAATGGAAAGAAGCATAAAAAGTGGAAATATTAAAAATACATTTTATATACTACGATTTAAAATAACTTTAACTAAATACATTCAGTATTACTTAAATTTGCAAATAAACACATTTTTAAGATAATAAATGATCGAATGTTTAAAAAAAAAGCTAAACTAAAAAAGCAGAATAGAGCAATAACCAAAGTAAAAGATATAAAGTTTTAAAAAAGAAATTTGCAAAAAAAACTAAGAAGAAACAAAAAGTACAATGTTTAAAAGAAGAAGAAAAAACAAGATAAAAAAAGCTAAACACAAAACTAAAGCGAAGAAGATTAACAAAACAAATCATATGCGGTTATTGGACACCTCCAAAGCCAAAAGGAAACCTGCAGACTAAATTTCCATTCATAAAATAGTTTCATTGTGTTTACTTTTTATGTGCCACAGGGAAAATTTTTTATAAAACCAAAAACTTACTGTTAGTTAGTTAGCCTGCATAAAAGTTTCTCTTCACACTATTCTCTATGAATTTGAAAAAAGAAAAATGTAGTTCGACCACTTTAAAGCTTTGAAGTAGTAATTAAGATGTTCCTGGCAATGATTCAGGAGCCTCATTTTGAACCCCCTATTAACTGCATTATTGGTTCACGGGAGGATTAAAATTCTCAGGAGGTGATGCTGAAACTAAAGGAACAACATGTTTGTTGAACACTCACGCACAGACACAAACGTAAAGACGATGTAAAACGGAAGTCTTTTCTTCCCTATTGTGAGTAAGTGAATCTCAAACTAGAAAAAAAATGGATTTTATCCATAGCGAATTGATTGGATGATTGTGGTTTGCTATTGCAGTGATCTCATTTGAGTGACAGGTTGCTCCACCCTCACTTCATCAGAGAATCATTGCAAAAGGGAGGGAAAGTTATCTTGATTAAAGTACTTTTTTTAAAGTGCAATACTTTAAGTGCCAGCCCGAACCCCCCCCCCCACCCCCACCACAACAGTTCGGTCTGGACTCGAACCATTTAGGAGTAATTATGATCAGTAAAAAAATGGTCGGGCCAATCAAATTGCCAGGGTTGGCTTTATACGATGATGGACGGATGATCTGCAGTTACGTAATCATCACATCATCAAAGAGCGCTTGGTTTGAACTGGTTTACAACAGCTGGAGAATTGAGATGTATAGATTACGCTATTACGTCTGTTTTAGAAAAAAATCGACAGCCCATTCATTTTAAAAGACGAACAGAGAACTCTCATAAAGGCATTTGTCGATCGTCAAGATGTGTTTGCCATCCTTCCAACAGGATTCGGAAAAAGTTTAATTTATCAGCTGGCTCCGATGGTCGCTAAAAGATGGGACGCAATGAAAACCAAGTTGTCATTGTGGTTTCTCCTTTGGTCGAACTCATGGAAGACCAAGTAAAAGAAGCTAACGAAATGGGCATCACAACTCATGTCAAAGCCATCGCTGCATGAAACAACAGTGACGCTTTGTTGTACTACAGTACTCGCACACCATATCCATACTGGTAGTCACTGTACCCTTTAAAATGGTGGATTTTTAAAAAATAAATAATTATTAAATACATTAAATTACATCATTAAAACATTATTTTCTCTGAAGACTCAAATGAACACGCTTCTTCAGCCTGGTCTCTTTTATCGTCTCTCCATTTATTAAATTCAGTCAAGTCGCGCTCCAACCGTGTTATAAAGTCGAGAAAGTCCGGCAAATGCGAACAGATTTGTTGGCTTTATTGTCGAGATCTAATCCTAAACGGAGAACTTGTTCGTATATACATTCACATTTTCTATTTCGTTCAAAAATGTTTTTCGAGTTTGCAAGTACTCCGCGAATCCGGCAAATATCGTTAACGCTCTTTTTTCTTTTAAATACTTTTTTTCCGAGAGTGCATGCAGTTCAAGTTTTGTCGACAACTATGAGTCGCTCAACATACGTCACTTACTGCGTTGCTCTGATTGGTTGTAGGTCTATCCAATTGAGTGCAGAGTTGTTGTTTTTTTCCTGGTTCGATTAAGACACGCCTCATAATGAAAGCCCTATGGAGCAGTATCAGACTCAAATTCTGAATAGAATACGAGTAAGACGAAGTCAGGCTAAAATATTCCTAAAAAAAAAAGAAAGATTTCATGGTGACTTTAAGAAAACCTTTGCAAAAGTCCTAATCAAAGAAAGTTTCACAGTCTTCCCTGACATTATTACAAGTGCTACAAAGGACATTGCAAAGGCACCAGGAAGGTGGATATTTAAAGTTAAAAGGCCAGATGCTTGTTTTCATAGCTGGTGTCAGAAGAGGGCAGGTGGAAATGGCAGGACATTGGCCTCTGGGGGCCTGAGGGTTTAAATAGAGCCTGCTGACATAACTGACCGGAGATCTAGGCTTCTGCTTCATTTTTCCACCACACCTACATCTTTTCCGCCTGATCCCAGGGGGTGAAGATGCTGGATGTAAAACGGTGTCAGGGCCCCAAAAAGCAGGCTCAGTCACAAGCTATCTTTATCACTCACTTTTTCCCCCCAGTGACGAAGTCAATGCAGGTCTGCTCAGAATGAGCATGGATGAACTTCTCAAGGTGTGAATTCGGATAAATATAGTGATGCACCAATATTAAAATTCCAAAACAGATAACTTGTTAATTAATTTTACATCACAGCCGATAACCAATAAATGGTTGTTATTGAAATGTGCTCTATTTTCGCTAAATAAATTAAAAACCAAACACTACAACCAATTATTTTAAATGCTATTGTAAATGTGAATTTAGTAGGGATGACCGATATGAAAATTTTGGTCGATACCGGTAACTGACAATTCTTTATATCTGAAAGCTGATAACCGATATATTGGATAATAAATCTAAATCCAGGTTTTTACATAATTTTTAAGAGCCTGATTACAAAAGCAAAAGTCTCACCAATAAAAGCCATGTCTCAAGCCTATATGACAGACTTGCGCTGCACATTTTGCACTTGTATTTTCCTTTTTTGAATGGATACCAATCATATTTCAAGCAATTCAAAACCACCATGGCGAACAGTGCACATTCGAAGTGTCTCAGCTGAAGGAAATGATCCATTATTTATGAGCTTTAATATACATCCGCCATTTTTTTTATTGGTCCGATAACATTAAAAATGAACATTACAGCGATGGCGATAAGGTGGCTGATATATCATGAATCCCTATAATTAAGGCAACACAACATTATAACTGTACATTATGAAAAACTAGATACTCATTTAGAGATTTGCTAATAATTATACTTAACAGTGTCATTAAATTATTAAAGTTAAGTTATTAACGTGTTTTTAAACATCAACTTCAAGTGAGTGTTAGATGACAAATATCTATTACTGGCTGATACTGGTTGAGTTTTGGACTTGTGTTGTGGCTTGTGAAATATATTCAGTACAAGCCCTGATTTATTTCAAACAATAACTCTTGACTTCCTCACTGGGCTCAAACTAATCCACAGGTATGCCACTCGAAAGTGGTCAAATAAACGCCCCTAAAACCCATTTATCTATTAATTTTCACCTTTCATGGTTACCTGATCTTTTTATTTAAATCCTTTTCTATTGTAGAGAATCCATACGGTCGCATGAATCACTTTCAATTTGAGGGATTCAGCCCAGATTAAAGCATCATTTTAACTAACGTCTTCAACGAGTACAAAAACCTGCCAAACCAAACCAACGTGGCCACTTGTCGGTTTAAGCCGATCTCAAAGGAGAGAGAATGTTAAAACACATTAATTATTGCCAAACAAATGTTTATGATAGAAGATCAACTGCACCTACACAAAGCAAATATGTATTAATCTTCAATGCAAATGATTAAGCACCTGCTTTGGGTTTCTTGACAGTCCTCATTCTTGCTGTTCTCAGGCTGCTCAGATGTTTGTTGAGATCTAGAGCTGCGATTCTGCAGGAGGGAAGTTCCTCGCCTGGATTGACCTCGACTCCTTCTGCGAGCCACTTTACCCACGGGCCCTGACCTCACCCGCCGGACTGAAGAGTTGGAGCTGTGAAGAGTCAGAAATCAGTACTCAAAAACTCACTCAGGGACATACAGTGACTGTATTTGGATAGACTTAAAATGTCTTTATTTTATTGCATAAACCAAGTGGCATCTGAAAACAAACAATAGGCGTTTCAATTACCCTTCAAATTGCGCAAATTGAAAATATGCCCAATGGAAACAAAGTCAATTTCACAAAAACCCCATTTATCGCAAAAAAAGTTTTTCGTGGCAATTTGAAAAAGAAATATTTTGCAAAAATGCAATGAAAAAAAAAGAGGATCTTACCATTTAGAGAAAAAAATTAAAACACTAAAGTTTTGCACAAATCTGTAATGGAAACGTGCCTACTAAGACCATTTCCTCTTTTGCTCTTAAGTGGATGATTTTACACTGAAGTAACAGGACACCATACACACACTGATTTAAACCTGCAGTCCTGAATGATACACTCTGTTTACTGTACTCACAAAAAACACACACACACCCTCACATAATTACACTTACTGTATCACAAAACATAGCATAGCCACACTAGTTATCACCACTGCGTAACAGATGACTAGACAGTTCAACATGTATTGGTGTATGTGGAAATTGCTATTGACTAAGAACTAGTACTGACTACATTCAATGAACATTACGGTTAAAATAAACCACATGTTTTATGTATTTTTAATGCAAATAATCATTCAAATAAAACAATTAAAACTAAACTGCATAATTACATGAACTAAATGTATTTTCATTAAGTATCTATATTAATACATTCTATTTTAATTATCTGAGCAAACTGTCTGCCAAAAAAAAAAAAACATTAATTAACATTTTTCCCCTGTTTGCCTGTAAAGACATTTAGCTTTAAGCAAAAAAGGGTAAAGACAAAAAGCTACATTTAATTCTTAAATCATATATAATATTACTATTATAGTATTTATTAATATTCATTACTTTTAATATTTCTATTTATCTTCAGTTTATGTTATTTCTGTTTAGTAATCAACATATTTTATATTTATTTCATATATTATTTCTGTTTAGTGCCTCAACATATTTCAGTTAATTGTCTAATTCACCAAATTAAAAAAAAGTAAGTTTGTTTTTAAATGAACTATTATTTCAATTAATAGTTTTAATTAACAATAACAACACTGCTTAATTCAAAATATTATATTTTCACTGAAAACAAGTCAATTAGCTTATGCAATTATGCAATTAGCTTCTTAATTGGGTATCTTGTTTTAGGATTAAAATGCTTTTTCACAGTGCAGACCAACTAGCGTTTGCTACCTATAAGATGCAAAGTACTATACCAGAGTATCCTGATCTTTTTTTTTTACAAGGCTTTGAGTTTTTCCAATATTATTTCTAAGATCCTATTTATGCAAATCTGTATTTACCCTAAAACCTCTTTAAAATCACTGATTCCTTCCATGACTGGCCAATGAATTTCTGTATTTCAACACAGCCTGCTGTCCGGGTATTTAAGCCTATTTTTCTGGGATCAGGGTGAAGTGATGAAAACTTGAGCTGGGTGATTGGGCTGGGACACACACAGAGAAAAAGCCCTGTTATTTCCTCATCATGTCAAAATTAAAAAAAAATCCATGCGCTGACCCCTCAGTGACCTGATTCCATCTCAAGGATCATTCTATTGACCCTGCAGGAGCTGATGGGAATGTCAGGTATTAGTAGGCATGCTAAATCCAACTTTCATCAAGAGAAAGGATGTTGAAATTTACTGCATAATTTCAATTGCACATTTTCCAATTATTTTAAACATTGAGGAACTATGGGATATAACGTTGGATGCAGCCACCACCACAAAATTTGGATTAAACCATTTTAAATTGTAATACCTAAAAACTAATTACAAAACTATGCCTACTTCTAGGCACAAAACAATGTACTGTATGAACACAAGCCTTCATAATAAAATTCAAATGACGCGCACCTGAACTTGAATATCCTGATCAAAGATAATCAGATACACACACATACAAACAGGCGAGTTAAAGATGCAAAACTATTTCAACTAGCCAGAAGCATTTTCCCACACGTTAAACCCCCAGAACCAGATTCATTTTTGCTCAGACAAAAGTACAAAGTCATAAATAATGTCACGACGAAAAAAACCAAAACAAAACAAAACGCAAGACCTGATTGGTGGCATCCACATATCTTTAACTACCTTAACATTGTTTAAAGGTGCCATCTGTAAAAATTGAGGTTAAAATATCCCAAAAATGAGCAACACGCATCAAAAGATTGAGAAGAAATAAGGTTGATGATGTCATTAAAAAACTGACAAGTAATAGTGCTGTCGAGATATTAACCTGAATTAGCATGCTAAATTACTAGCCCCGGCCCGGCAGGTGTCGTAATACCAGTTTCGACCATGGGAGGCGGTATGCGGGCGGGCAACGTTACCACCAGCCAAACTGCAGTACACGAGTAAGTCGCGCTCGCGCCAGCTTGTGTGTACTTTAACCTGACGTCAGTCGTGTGGAAAATACAGCCCACTACTACATTTCAGTTCAGGGAAGAGTTAAAAAAAAATGATTGGTCGATATTATGCATGAGGAATACATTTTGGTAAGTTGTAGCATACTGTATCTTTCAACAGTGTTCGTGTTCTTTTACCATTAGCTAGTAGAGATGATCGGTTCACGTGTGCTAGGGATCTGTCGTGTAAAGCGCCAATACTGTATTTATTGTTTGAATTGCGTAATAAAATGAACAGAATCTGAGAGCTGACATCGGTCTCCGTGTCCTTTTCTGTGCATGACAAAAATGTGTGGCGTGAAAGTGTGTGAAAAGTGTTGTGAGAGTTGGCAGCTCTGAAAGACGCTAGCTTGGTCCACATCAGGGAATTGCTGTCTGTCAAATTAATTCAAACTAATGATAAAAATGTAATATGAACAAATCGAATATCATAAAACTAGAAATAATAGCCTGGGCTTTAATTTTCCCATATCGTCGAAATGCACCGACTTGTCTATGAGACGGCCCTTATAATTTAGTATTGAGATGTTGTTCATTAAGTCTCTAATCTCTGAAAATCTCCAAATGCTCCACGTGAAACTGCGGTCTTCCAACCTTTTACTATCGCGTCAATTGATTTGATGAATATGCACGAGGCAGACAGAGCAACACAGCACTCGCCCATATTGTTTGAAGACATGAGAGAGCGCGTGGCCGTGGAGGTATTTCTGGAGGTATACTGCCCCCATCTGGTATGGAACATGTTGTATGTTTTGATTTTAAATCCCATTTGGCACCTTTAAAGGGATAATTCACAGAAATATAAAAATTCTTTCAAGATTTACTCATCATTGACTCCCTCATCTCGTTCCAAACCTGTATGACTTCATTTCTTCTGTGCAACAAAAAAGATATGTTGAAGAATGTGCTGGCAAAAATGAAACCCGTAAGACCTTCGTTCGAAACCTGTACGACCTTCGTTCATCTTTTCGGAATAGAAATAAAGATGGACTGCAACATAATTGCCACTTCCAAGGCCCATAAAGGTAGTAAACACATTGTTGAAATAGTTCATGTGACTACAGTGGTTAAACCTTACATGACATGAGGGTGAGTAATTAATGACAGCATTTTCATTTTGGGGAGAACTAACCCTTTAATAAGGACTGGAGCTTTCAAGCTTCAAAAATGTTGCAAAAGTACCATTGAATCATCATAAAAGTTGTTTATAAGAGTTATAAGAGAGACATCACTAGTTCTCTCAGAAACATGCAATAATTTTTTTATGGAATAATATCTGTTCATCAAATGGAATAAAGTTTTATTTAAAGCTGCAGTTCGCCGTCCGTTTTTTCCTCTGTTCGAAATCTGCAATTGCAGTCATTTGCGTAATATCAGCTTAGCATGAGTTGTACTTCAACACCTTCGACACGGCACAGCGTGGATGAACACAATGTTTGAGGAGAGTGTGAGGCTGTCAGTCGCCGCGCCGGTGTGGATACTGGCATTCAGAATGACAGATCACTCTTTTTGGAAATATGACCAACATAACAATTTTCACCGGAAAATGTCATCTGAACTAGTAACTAACATCCACTTTTGTTCTGGTTTTGACATTGCAGTAAATCACACTGATTAAATCTAACAATCGCTTATAAGTTATCATATCACGCAAAACTGTGCAAATTATACTTTGTTCTCAAATTGTTAATGTTAACAACGTCAGCATTGCGTGACTACATGTAATGTCCTTCCGATATTATCCTCGTTTTCGCACGGGTCTGTTTGCAGTCTCTTTTTTCAGTCGCCATTTCGAACGAAGTCTTTTGCATTTTACAGCGGGTGAATCTGTTGTCACTGGTGATTGTTGTTTGAACCTTTCTGGACCATTTTCATTTCCATTTTCTGCCATCAAATTGATAAGTTAAATTATATCAAATGTTGTGAGAAAAGGCTCTCCACCTCCAACATCCTCACACGCAATATAGCCTATACTAGCAGAGACTCCTCCTTTATGTGTACAGATGTGACGTAATGACCCAAAGACATGCTCGAATCTCCTGCGGAAATCCACCAGTACCACTGAAATTAAAAACATTATAACAAGCTTAACGTTTTGAATTGAGCTACGGCAAGCAGAGAGTTTTGAAGACCGGCTGGTTATGCGTTTTCTCAAATAATAATAGATCATTTTTAACCCAACAAAAACTACCGACTGCAGCTTTAAAAATAATAAAATAATTATTAAAATATTAAAATTATTTGCTTTTTTAATAATACATTGGTAATGATTTCTTCGTTTTATTTTCAAGAGGCATATACTTATTTATTGCAATTCCACTGAATACTTTTTTGGTGTTGCAAAGAGAAAAAAACAAAAAACATGGGTTATATACTTTTTATAATACTTCCAAAAGTAAAAAGTTGGTCATTATTTACTAGCACTCAAATTTTGGAACAATTATTTTGGAGTAAATAATGACAAAATGTTTATTTTCGGAAGTATCCTATTTATATTAGTTATATTTAACAGTTCTGATGCAGGGGAATTGCAGTGAATAAAAATGTATTAATTAACGAAAACACATTAAAAAAACACAAAAAGGGGGCAGGTTATTGACTCCTTGTACATCGCTCTACCATCTTGCCTCCATTTCTTTCACAAACCTCTCTTCAGTAGCACCTTCATCTGAATCTTGAGAAGGGAGTCGCTCCTTCTTGACCCCACCCCGAATGGAATTCTGGGAACGTCTACTACTGCTCCTCTTGGTTCGAACCTGAATCACATATTTCTTAGACTGAGTATGTACATGGGATAAATGTATAGCAAAAAAGCTGTCAAAAGTGTATCCTCTCTCGGAGTTGCTGATACCACATTGTCGTTTTTGATTTCAGATAAAGTAAAGGCCATGTTTAAGGCCAATTATGTGGTTTATCCAAATACAAAGGTGGTATTAAAAGCAGGTGCACCTGTGCCTGAGCGAAGGAGGTGGAGACTCTTGCTTTGGGGAGGCGGCTGAGGGCAGGGCTCTTCTTGGCAGGAGAAGATTTGGCAGCTGTACTGTTCTTGCCTGATTCCAAAAGGTAATGCTGAGCCACTTTCAGCAGTCGTGTGAAAACATTCTTAGCGCTGGAGCCCGGAGCCTCTGTAGAAACACAAAAGAAACATAATCTTAAGAAAGTCTCAAGAATCACAGATCTCAAGACTTGGAAGTGGAGTACAGTATGTTTATTAACATTTATACTAATATATTATACACACACAAAATCACTTTTAGCCGTGTTTCCACTGAAATTACCAGGAACAATTTGTCCCAGGAACTCCTTAGCTTAATAAAGCCTGAACCTTGTCGACAGTCCATCGGTCAAATTTTTAAAACTCCATTGTTGATTCGAACAGCAAACGAAAAGACTGGTGGTTGAAATAAAATACTGTGTGGATTCAACCAATCGAAACGCCCATGTTCAGCGCCCAAGTCCCACTTTCGAAAGTTCCTTAACGTTGAGAACGTACTATCTTGGGGCTCTCTGAGGGGGAAATATTTACACGGAACTTAATTTAGACCCTGGTCCCCGTGTTCGAAACACAACGGTTTGTACCACCCCAAAGTCCCTAGATCCTGGGGAAAGTTCCTGCAGTGGAAAAGTGGCTTTAGTGAGTAAATTTAGTACCAATGGGTCAATGGGTGAACTTCTGTGAGTTGCAGTATATTTCCAGATACAAACAAACATCACACCACAAATGCGCCCACAGCACAAAAGTGAATGTTATCAGACTATCAGATTTACACAGGTGCTGCCGGCCTGCTCTCGCTAATGCAGGCTGTGTGCTAGAGAACAGATATCCATGTCAGCCACATATGCCACTAGGGATTCAGCCTGTCCCCTGTAATCTCATCAACAGAACAAGGAAATGTGGGCTGTATTGTATTTCAAAGCGTCTGTTTTGGTGGTTTTGAGTCGGGTAGGTGACAGAGTACAGTTGGTAGATACGCTCTCTGCTTGAGTGTAATTCGCTTGACATTGAAAGCATGAATTGGTGACCTGAAGTACAGGCTGTCAAAGGTTTCAGCCTATTGTCTTGAATTTCTTTTTCTGGGCTTTCCGCCAATAGTATTAACTTGTGCCATGTGATTGGATCCAAGCGGCGTTATAATCTCATGTATGATACGCCAGGGTGCCATCTCAAAGTACTGGGGCACTTTCGTTATGAGACATTGTATCTCTCATAGCGATGACCCATTAGATTAATTATCGTTGAGGTCCAGACCTGCCTAAATTACTCATAAATAATGTCTATGAACCAGCTCACCTTTTTTAGAAGTGTTCTTGGCACCTTTTTGTGAAGGTTTAACATCGTGTCCATCGCTGAGAGAACTCGTACAGCCTTTTGCGCTTTCCTTTTTCACTTTCTCTGCAAAGACAGGTTTAAAAGAGACATTTTTTATATGTAACAGGTATGTAAAAGATCTGGTAGGCCAAAAAAAAAAAAACAGTAGTAAATAAAAAAAGTTATATAAAATAAAATAAATCTTATAATCTTATAAAAAGTTATATAATATATAAAATAAATCTATATAAAAAAAGAAAAAAATATATAGTAAAGAAATAATAGTAAATTTAATAAATAACAGTAGTTAGAATGAATAAATCATTTGCTTTCTTGTATTGTGTTTGCCCTAAGTGTTGTAGAGAAAGCATGTTGTTTTGGGTATTCAAGCTTTTCTATCCCACAAAAACACAAGCAAAGCAAAACAAATAAAAATACTGCAGACACCCGCCGACTCATCGCAAATTACATAGTAGTAAATGTTTGTGTCGCATTTTAAACTACACAAAAAAGTCAATATACATTTGAAGTACTTCGCAACTACAATTAAACCTAAATCCCGAGCTTTGGAGAAAGCCAGTAATTTCACAATCAATCTCAATCAGCGGCAGTTTAAAAGCTTTAGTTTGCAGTGGATCTCATAAAGACAAGTTCTGCCATGTTCAGAGAGCGTAATGAGAAAACACTGGAAGGTACCAGAGCTCACCTTGCCTCCCTGAAGCACCCGAGGCCCTCAAAGGACACATAAGTCACAAAGTATTTACTCATTACATTCATTTTCCTGGTCGATTTTTTAATACATCAAAAACATGTCAGCTACTGACAAAATCCTTTCTGCCAAATTCCTGGGTGGGTTTCCCTTGAAGAGATTCAGAGGTATAATTTTGAAGGGAATAAAAGTTAATGGACCATGTCACCCACTGGCATCAGTTTCAAAGAGTAGGAACAAAACAGATAAGCTGATGATGCAAAGTAAAGGTTTATTCTGTGGCTCTAATGCAATAATGACAGGACTGTTCTGAAAGAATGATGGGTAATCCATCATTTTTGTGCCGTTTGATAGGAAGAATGTGCATTGTATTTCTCTACAAACTGGCGTCACAAACAAAACATAAACTGATGTGACGTTGATGAGAACTGATAAATATCAGATGAACAAAAGGGTTCAAACGAAAGAGTTTCCATTTTGAGAACAAATAAAAGAGAAATAGATGGCAGAATGAAAGGATAAAGTCTTATTAACTTTAGCCAGCTGTATTAAACTCATGCATGCTTGGTCAGTTTCTCCAGCCCTCTCTCACGGACACACACGGTCTTTGAAGAACAAAACTCCCAGCTTTAGGTGGAGGCTCTGGTGTCGTTACACACGATTAGTGTGTAATGTGTGTGTGTTGCCGCTCTATTACGAGAAGTCATTTTAAAAGCAGTGTACAGGCAATACTTGGTCTAAAGCAGCAATAATGATCAGCAGCAGTTTAGTAGATCTAGTCCACCAAGACCAAATGCATTAACATTGCCTTATTCAAATAGCATGTTGTCATGATTGAAATATTCTAAAACAAAAATGTACATTTTGTTGTGTTTTAAAGGATACATCGAACAAAATGCAGTCAGACTTATGCTTCAAATAAAGCTGAGAACATTTAATGACCTCTGAGGCCAATGCAGAATAAAATGAGCACACTATCTAACAAAGAGAACAAGTCTTTTGATTTGAAATGTTAAAAATTGTGACACTGAATTTCAAGAGCCTTATGCAACAAATTACATCATT